TTTATTTTACCTCATATTTTACCACTTTTTGTCGTGAACAATCAACATGACTTAATCCTAATCCAATGTGGTATTTACTTTAAGGGCGGCACGGTGGCTGAGTGGTTAGCTCTCTCGCTTCTCAACAAAAAGGTCCTGGGTTTGAATCCCGGTCGGAACAGGGCTTTTCTGAGTGGAGTTTGCATGTTCTCCCCGTGTCTGCGTAGGTTTCCTCCGGGTCTTCTTTTGATGGTCTCTTTATGATCTACCACAGACCCCGCTCCCATCTCTGTGAGGAGTGAGAGACAAGTGCCCAAAAATAATAACAATTGTAAACCACTTTGTGACTCTGGTCTGTGAAAGGCGGTATATAAATAAAGATTACTTACTTACTTACACTAAAAACATGCACAATAGGTCTGACTGTGAATGAGAGAGTGAATGGATGGTGTTGGGTCAGAGGCTTTGATGGTCCAGTGTGTTCTGGACTCGCTTCTGTCATCACCGTGTGTGGAAGGATTGGAACAATATCTGACTCTGAACATTGTGAAGTGCGTTGGGTCTGTACCTTGGTCTGTAACATGTGCTATATAAATAAACATTACTTACTTACAGACCTAATATGGAAACTCCCTGAACATATTCTAAACCACACAATTAAGCATTCATGAAATCCAATCATTTATTTAATATGATTTCGAGAAAGGGGAGAAAAGACAATCTCCAATTCTCTCAGAGCCCTCAGAGATGAAGAGCTCTGTAAGTTAATAAAAGGAATATGATCTGTGTCCTGTGGGTGATGTCTCTGTGCTGCCCGTACTTTCTTCATTCACCTCCTGCTCATAAAAGCTGATTTAGCGACGGATGCTGGTGTTGTATGTGTTTACCAGGCACGAGTTACAGCCGCAGAGTTTATGGTTGAAGGGAAAGCCTGTGGGCGGATGCTCCTCTGGGGAACCATCGACCGGTGTGAGGCTGAGGCACTAATGCAGCCGGACACTGACATCCATTAGAGCCAAAATGGCCGCCGTCACCGGAGCTGCCCCAGGAAGACTGATGTGGGACTGGTCTCTCTCTCTGTTCTCTCTGGTCTCTCTTTCTCTCTCTCTCTGTTCTCTCTGGTCTCTCTCTCTCTCTCTCTCTCTCTCTGTTCTCTCTGGTCTCTCTCTCTCTCTCTATCTCTCTGGTGACACTCTGGTTTCTCTCTGGTCTCTCTCTGCTTTGGTGTCTCTCTCTCTCTTTCTCCGGTGTCACTCTGGCCTCTCTGTCTGGTCTCTCGCTCTCTGGTCTCTCTCTCTCTGGTCTCTCTCTCTTTCTCTGGTGTCTCTCTAGTGACACTGTGGTTTCTCTCTGGCCTCTCTGTCTAGTCTCTCTCTCTCTGGTCTCTCGCTCTCTGGTCTCTCCCTCTTTTGGGGGCCCCTCACAGCCCTCAAGATCCTCTTTCTGACAGGTCCGTGGATCACAGAGTCACATGGTGTTAGAGTTACACAAACAGTTATAAACAACACGGAACAAGCAGAGAGTGGACCTCTGTGGAGGAGAAGTCACATCAGCTGCATGTTCTCTGCATTCTTTAGTATAAATGTATAGTTTACAGACCCCCCCCCTGCCTGGCACTTCCTGTCACTGGCGTCACCAACAGCAGAGAGCGTCTTCCAGGAACCGACAAAAAACTATTACTGCAGCACATGCTTTATTTATTCTGCTCAGTGTGTGAGTGACAAGTGTGCATGTGTGCGTGTGTGTGTGTGTGTGTGTGTGTGTGTGTGTGTGTGTGTGTGTGTGTGTGTGTGTGTGTGTGTGTGTGTGTGCGTGTGTGTGTGTGTGCGTGCGTGTGTGTGGGACTGGTCTCTCTCACTGGTTTCTCTCTGGTGTCTCTTTCTCTCTGGTGTCTCTCTGGTCTCTCTCTTTCTCTCTGGTCTCTCTCTTTCTCTCTGGTGTCTCTCTGGTCTCTCTCTTTCTCTCTGGTGTCTCTCTGGTCTCTCTCTTTCTCTCTGGTGTCTCTCTGGTCTCTCTCTTTCTCTCTGGTGTCTCTCTGGTCTCTCTCTTTCTCTCTGGTGTCTCTCTGGTCTCTCTCTTTCTCTCTGGTCTCTCTCTTTCTCTCTGGTGTCTCTCTGGTCTCTCTCTTTCTCTCTGGTGTCTCTCTGGTCTCTCTCTTTCTCTCTGGTGTCTCTCTGGTCTCTCTCTTTCTCTCTGGTGTCTCTCTGGTCTCTCTCTTTCTCTCTGGTGTCTCTCTGGTCTCTCTCTTTCTCTCTGGTGTCTCTTTGGTTTGACAAAACAAATATCGAAAACAAAATGTATTCAGTGAAGCAGTGACGCTACCCAGAATGCAGAGAACAATCTATACAATCCTTTTAAACAATTCTACATTTGAGCGTTAATTTTTGTGAATATGAAGCAAGTCCTGCGGCAAAATACTTGAGCAACATCATTGTAATTATTTTAACTAACCGTAATTGGCCTGTATGAACACAGATGTTTTGTGGTTGCTGGTTGAATCCCTCCTTCTTTCCCGCTCATATTAAACATAATGGACGATAACAGTGAGCACAGCCTCAGTCTCTCTCTGCACCACGGGCCTCTTCCTGTCTGTGTTCTCCCACCGCTTTCTCCTCCATCACCGTCTGCTGCTGAATACTGATCAATACCAGCGTCTAAAATATTTATAATTCATTCTCCTCTTCCTCCTCCTCTTCCTCCTCTTTCCTTTGTGTTTGTCCGTGTGTGGGCTCATCTCTCTCTGCAAACATGTATGCAGCCTGTAGATTCTGCTCACCTCTGCGGTTTCTGTGGCTGTAGAGGCTTCAGAGCTCTCCTCCCCCCTCTCTCTCCCCCACTCTCTCCCCCACTCTCTCCCCCTCTCTCTCCCCCTCTCTCTCCCCCACTCTCTCCCCCTCTCTCTACCCCTCTCTCTACCCCCTCTCTCTCCCCCACTCTCTCCCCCTCTCTCTACCCCTCTCTCTCCCCCTCTCTCTCTCCCCCTCTCTCTCTCCCCCTCTCTCTCTCCCCCTCTCTCTCCCCCACTCTCTCCCCCTCTCTCTCCTCCACTCTCTCCCCCTCTGTCTCCCCCCCCTCTCCCCCTCTCTCACCCCCCTCTCTCTCCCCCTCTCTCTCACCCCCTCTCTCTCCCCCTCTCTCTCCCCCACTCTCTCCCCCACTCTCACCCCCTCTCTCTCCTCCCCCCTCTCCCCCTCTCTCTCCCCCTCTCTCTCCCCCTCTCTCCCCCACTTCGATCCTCTCTGCTCTAATGGTCCTGCAGCTTTGATTGACACATCTGCAGGTCTCAACATTCACAAACGCAGCTTTTTCTAACATACCGTCCGCGTCGTGGGATTTCACATTTCCATTCCATTCTATTCACTTTTACACAGCCCTAAATCACAGCAGTATTTACCTCTGAGGACTTTACAAAACCAAGAAAACAAGAATCAAACTCAAGAAATGCAATGATATAAAACACATGGAGGCTTTGGTCCATAAGGAGCAGAGACCACTGTCCATAAATGCAAATGAGAATACTTTAAATGTATAATTATGCTGATTTTTTGACATTTACAAACTTAATATTTTATTAGAATTAGAATTTTTAAGCCCACATTTGAATGATTTGTTCTGAAATCTGTCTGGCGGATGCTGTGTCTCCAGACTTAGCCGTCCAAATGCAATGGCATCAACAAATCCTAAAACCATCCATCCATCCATCCATTTTCTTCCCTTTAATCCCCATGTGTCAAAGTCAAGGCCCGCGGGCCAAATCCGGCCCGCGAATGAATTATCTATGGCCCCCGGGACATTGCCTGCCATTGAGGCAATGTATTGACCCCTTAAGCTCGCTAGCCCCCGCCGGCGGGAGCAAACGAGGAAAAAATACATCTGCTGGCAATAGCAGATGTACAGTATTTTGAACTTCATAAGCCACAAACTATATATCATTTTAAAGCTTATTTTATCAGCTATATTTATATGTAAGTGTAAACAATATCAGACATTGCATTAAAAAGATATAACGCATAATATGAGCACAAAATAAATCACGTCTGTATTCGTTTTTTACCTTTCGTCTTCTGCTGCTCCAACAAATTAGACGCTCCCCATCCTTGCTCAGTCTCTTTCTCTCCGTAACTGTTCATTGAAGAAGAATATCCACTTGTATTTCCCAAAGTATAATCCATTCTGCAGATTTAATCAAATCTTCAATCTTTTACATTTCACCAAGTTTGAGCTTTGTTTTTTTTACTATTTTCATGTTCTCAGCTGTCTATTACATCTAATATGTACAGTATGAGGATTGGCTTTAGAGCATATTTTATCGAGCCAGCAGGTGTCACCGGCACTGCCTCTGGATGTTGAGAAACATTGAACCAGTCCGGCCCTCGGCGCGTAGCAAACATTTTTTTTGGCCCTCTGATGTATTTTACTTTGACATGCCTGCTTAATCCATTTCTGGGTCAGGGGGGTGGCAGTCAGAGATGCCACCCAAGTCTCATAGCACCAGCCCCTCACTGACCCTCTGCAGGTGGTGAGTCCACAGGAGGACGGCTGCTCTCTGACTGTGAGCATAGCCTTGATCTTTCAGTGGGGGCTTTGGGCAAAGTGGGGTTAAGTGTCTTGCCCAAGGACACAACGACAGCAGTCATCAGTGGGAGTTGGTGGAGAAGGTGTAGAGGTGGGAATTGAACCAAATGAGATTTTAAACCAGGAAGTTGCACTTTTTGCCAATGGAACAACGCTAAATAATCTTGTTTTGAGAAGAAGAAATGTGAAAATAAAGCAACAGTTCTTGGTGTACACCTAAATGTCTTTGTCCCGTTGGAGAATCTGGTTTAAAGACAGTTCGACTGTGCTTCAATTAAGATTAAGATTAAGACACAGTGTATATTCCTGGTCCCACTCAGGATGTAGCAAAGACCATCAGACTCAGAAATCCTCACTTTGCTGCTGGACTGTGTTACCGTGGAAACCCTGACTCTACAAACCCGTAAACGTTTGTGAGTTCTTTTGAGTGCTCTTAAGTTTTTGGTTTAAAGCCGAGCGTGGAGTGACTCAGGTCTCTCTGTGTCCCGCTCTGTGTCCTGCTCTGTGTCCCGCTCTGTGTCCCGCTCTGTGTCCCGCTCTGTCTCCTGCTCTGTGTCCCGCTCTGTGTCCTGCTCTGTGTCCTGCTCTGTCTCCTGCTCTGTGTCCCGCTCTGTGTCCCGCTCTGTGTCCCGCTCTGTGTCCTGCTCTGTGTCCCGCTCTGTCTCCTGCTCTGTGTCCCGCTCTGTGTCCTGCTCTGTGTCCTGCTCTGTCTCCTGCTCTGTGTCCGCTCCCGCTCTGTGTGTCCCGCTCTGTGTCCCGCTCTGTGTCCCGCTCTGTGCTCTGTGTCCCGCTCTGTGTCCGCTCTGTGTCCCGCTCTGTGTCACCGCTCTGTGTCCGCTCTGTGTCCGCTCTGTGTCCCGCTCTGTTGTCCTGCTCTGTGTCCTGCTCTGTGTCCCGCTCTGTCTCCTGCTCTGTGTCCCGCTCTGTGTCCTGCTCTGTGTCCTGCTCTGTCTCCTGCTCTGTGTCCGCTCTGTGTCCCGCTCTGTGTCCCGCTCTGTGTCCCGCTCTGTGTCCCGCTCTGTGTCCCGCTCTGTGTCCTGCTCTGTGTCCCGCTCTGTGTCCTGCTCTGTGTCCTGCTCTGTCTCCTGCTCTGTGTCCCGCTCTGTGTCCTGCTCTGTGTCCCGCTCTGTGTCCCGCTCTGTGTCCCGCTCTGTGTCCCGCTCTGTGTCCTGCTCTGTGTCCCGCTCTGTGTCCTGCTCTGTGTCCTGCTCTGTGTCCCGCTCTGTGTCCCGCTCTGTGTCCTGCTCTGTGTCCTGCTCTGTGTCCCGCTCTGTGTCCGCTCTGTGTCCGCTCTGTGTCCTGCTCTGTCTCCTGCTCTGTGTCCCGCTCTGTGTCCTGCTCTGTGTCCTGCTCTGTGTCCCGTTCTGTGTCCTGCTCTGTGTCCGCTCTGTGTCCCGCTCTGTGTCCCGCTCTGTGTCCCGCTCTGTGTCCTGCTCTGTGTCCCGCTCTCTGTCCTGCTCTGTGTCCCGCTCTGTGTCCCGCTCTGTGTCCCGCTCTGCGTCCCGCTCTGTGTCCGCTCTGTGTCCCGCTCTGTGTCCTGCTCTGTGTCCCGCTCTGTGTCCCGCTCTGTGTCCTGCTGTGTCCCGCTCTGTGTCCTGCTCTGTGTCCTGCTCTGTGTCCTGCTCTGTGTCCCGCTCTGTGTCCTGCTCTGTGTCCTGCTCTGTGTCCCGCTCTGTGTCCTGCTCTGTGTCCCGCTCTGTGTCCTGCTCTGTGTCCTGCTCTGTGTCCCGCTCTGTGTCCTGCTCTGTGTCCTGCTCTGTGCCATCTGTGCCCAGGAGGAGACGTATGCACTGTGTTCACATATGCTGCACTGGACCCACAGGAGAAGAAGAGAGAGATCGATCACAGGAAGAAGAAGAAGATATGAAGGAAAATCACATGGATATATTCTGAGGCTGTAAGTTTAAGTCAATGTGTTCTTGTTTAAACACAACAGAGAGAGAGGAGAGAGAGAGGAGAGAGAGGAGAGAGAGAGGAGAGAGAGGAGAGAGAGAGGAGAGAGAGAGGAGAGAGGAGAGAGAGGAGAGAGAGAGGAGAGAGAGGGAGAGAGAGAGGAGAGAGGGAGAGGAGAGAGAGGAGAGAGAGAGGAGAGAGAGAGGAGAGAGGGGAGAGAGAGGAGAGAGAGAGGAGAGATAGGAGAGAGAGAGGAGAGAGAGGAGAGAGAGAGGAGAGAGAGAGGAGAGAGAGAGAGAGAGAGAGAGAGAGAGAGAGAGGAGAGAGAGAGGAGAGAGAGGAGAGAGAGAGGAGAGAGAGAGGAGAGAGAGAGGAGAGAGAGGAGAGAGAGAGAGAGAGAGAGGAGAGAGAGAGGAGAGAGAGGAGAGAGAGGAGAGAGAGGAGAGAGAGGAGAGAGAGAGGAGAGAGAGGAGAGAGAGGAGAGAGAGGAGAGAGAGAGGAGAGAGAGGAGAGAGAGAGGAGAGAGAGAGGAAAGAGAAAGCAGAGAGAGGAGAGAGAGAGACCAGCCTCAGACCCTCAGACCCTCAGACCTCAGACCCTCAGACCCTCAGTCTCAGACCTCAGACCCTCAGTCTCAGACCTCAGACCCTCAGACCCTCAGACCCTCAGACCTCAGACCCTCAGACCCTCAGACCCTCAGACCTCAGACCCTCAGACCTCAGACCCTCAGTCTCAGACCTCAGACCCTCAGACCCTCAGACCCTCAGACCTCAGACCCTCAGACCTCAGACCCTCAGTCTCAGACCCTCAGTCTCAGACCTCAGACCCTCAGACCCTCAGACCCTCAGACCTCAGACCCTCAGACCTCAGACCCTCAGTCTCAGACCCTCAGTCTCAGACCTCAGACCTCAGACCCTCAGTCTCAGACCCTCAGACCAAACAAAGAGATTCTGGAGTGATCCAGGAGGAGCCTCAGGAGCCGGAGTCAGAACCACCTTAAAAGGAACCTCATGGTCCCTCTGACTCCGCTGGTTTGAAACTGTTTCTGGTTTTAGGAGTTTTCTTGCCTCTAACATGACCTTTTATTCTTGTACAATTGATAAAAAAGACAAAATATGAACTAATGAATCATAGAAACAGAACAAGAGAATGAATAACAATAATAATAATCATATCCGTCATCATACATCAGGGCAATCAGGTCAAAAAACAGTTCTTAATGATTAATAAAAACAAATTCTCTCAACCATACCAACCAGATTATTTTCTAACTTTCTCTGTTCTAGCCATACCGTATTTTTGATTACGCAATGTCGAACCCCGATCATAATCTTTGCAGAACTTTTCGTGGGGAGTCCTTTTTTCACACCTGCCACAAAAATATGCACAAAAAAGTAATGTATTTGATTTATCTGCGGTGACATGAAACTAAACCTTTTCCCGGTGCTTTGGTGTTGGCTCTTTGCTAATTCTCGGCACACATTAATGCGGTGTGAGCCTGAATCCAGAGGGGAATCCTGCTCTGTGGCTCTGAGAGTGAGTGGAATGTCATTAAAAAGAGGATATTCAGATTCCAAACACATCTGTGTCATCAGGCGTCAGTCGAGCCTGATCGTCATGACGATGAGGGAGATCGGGAATCAATACGAGCCAGGAGCCGGTGTCAGAGTGACCTTTGTGGCTAAAGAGAAGCAGCCAACGACATTTCACCACCGCACAGTTAAAACCAGCATAAGAGACGTAAGTCATGTTTATTTATAATGCACATTTTTACCTGCAGTCATTTTGACTGCTCAGGGTCAGAGACTGTGGAGTTCAGGACAGTTTACAGTCAGAGACAGTTGTTAATAATTCAGAGGCTGAAGAGAGTCCCAGAGACACATGTGTCGCCGCAGGCAGCTCTGACTCACCAAACATTATTATTTCATCTGATACTGGCACCGACCAGACCAGACCAGGACCAGACCAGACCTGGCACCGACTAGACCAGACCTGGCACCGACCAGACCAGACCAGACCAGACCAGACCAGACCAGGACCAGACCAGACCTGGCACCGACCAGACCAGACCAGGACCAGACCAGACCAGACCTGGACCAGAGCCTCTACTCTACTCTACTCTACTCTACTCTACTCTACTCTACTCTACTCTACCCTACCCTACCCTACCCTACCCTACTCTACTCTACTCTACTCTACTCTATCTACTCTACTCTACTGCTACTTACCCTACCCTACCCTACCCTACCCTACCCTACCCTACCCTACGCTACCCTACCCTACCCTACCCTACCCTACCCTACTCTACTCTACTCTACCCTACCCTACCCTACCCTACCCTACGCTACGCTACTCTACTCTACACTACTCTACTCTACCCTACCCTACCCTACCCTACTCTACTCTACACTACTCTACTCTACTCTACTCTACTCTACCCTTCTCTAGTGTAATCCCACCCTTTAGTATCTGGCACCGTATCCTAGCAACATAACCATAACAAACCATCAGAATTTCCGCCGGAGCCTGTTTCCACCGCTCCACGCTCGAGTGCACGACCATCTGCCCGTGCTGCAGCCGCACTCACAGACTCCCGCACTGCATGCTGGGAAGAGCGCTCTGCCAACTGTTGATCTGCATCGCGCTCAATCACACTATATTTAGCCTTAACTCGGATTATCGTCATGACAACGCACATCCATTCATCCCAGTAAGTAAACAAGGTAAAAAGGTAAATGGGAGATTTTTAGGAAAGAACCGCCCTCTTCAGTATGTTTGAAAAACTCTCTGGTCTGATTGGACGAGCACAAATCACCAGAATGATTGACAGCTTGGAGGACCAATAGTTTTGATGATCCACCTGGAAGTAGAAATAGCTCCTATAGACCTTTAACTACAAACTATAACAGCTCAGGACTTTTAAACACATGAGTATTATTATTATTATTATAGACTCAAAATATAATTATTATTATTGTTTATCGGGAATTATTGTTGATTTTACTTTTATTTATGTGAAAATATTTAAATAAACGACATGAGCAAGAGATGGTATTTAGATTAAAGCAATTTAGTCTCATTTGTCCCTACTCTACCTGGTTGTGTTTCCATTGCAATTTAATATCTGCCATGCCGTATCCTAGCAACCCACCCACAACAAACCAGTATTCAGGGAAATTCCTCGGTAACCATGGCTTCCAGCAGCTCTCTGGCCAATCACTGTCAGTCAACACTTTCATATGGCATTAGTGAACGTTCTTCAGACAGCTACATACTTCCCCTTTAAATCTAAAAACTAACAATCACTTTAAAACATTTCATAGAGAATGCACTAAACGATTCTTGACGAACTAAATTGCTTTTTCATAAACTGCCAAAAATCAGCACTAATCGGACCGTTTCCCTAAATCAGTTAGAGTTTATTAGAGATGGATGTGCAGAGACGGCGCTGGTGGAGTCGTTAGCAACATTAGCGACGGTGATTGTCTCCGTTCTGTTCCGGATAATGGACTTTTATGGCTCCGTCAGGTCCACAGACAGATCTATAGAGTTTTATGGAAGCTCTGAAGGATTGTGTCTGAGTCTGAGATCCAGGATCCAGGACTCTGTAGATCCAGGACTCTGTAGATCCAGGACTCTGTAGATCCTGGACTCTGTAGATCCAGGACTCAGTAGATCCAGGACTCTGTAGATCCAGGACTCTGTAGATCCAGGACTCAGTAGATCCAGGACTCTGTAGATCCAGGACTCTGTAGATCCAGGACTCAGTAGATCCAGGACTCTGTAGATCCAGGACTCTGTAGATCCAGGACTCTGTAGATCCAGGACGATCCAGGACTCTGTAGATCCAGGATCTCTCTGCCCTCCTAACCCTCTCCCTCTTCGTTCCCAGTGTCTCAGATAAATCATCCGTTTATCCTCCTCATCAAAGGCAGAGCTAAAAACATGAAAAAGACATTAAGTAAGGGATAATGTATAGCATACAGGTCATTATCGGAAAATAAGTACCTTCAGGGCGGAAGCAGACCCCTCCGCTGCGCGTCGGGGTCCGCTTCGCCCTGTCAGTACTTATTTTCCGATAATGACCTGTATGCTATACATTATCCCGCTTATTATACTGCTTTGTACCAACTTAACACACAAAATAAACTTCAGATCACTTTTATGAATGCCAAAAGTTTATTTAATGACAACAAATAAAGTAGTCCCAAAAAGTTTTCCCGTTGCTCGGCAACCGCGGGCAGGCAGTGTGGCTTTGACAATTGTGGCTATGCTAGCAACAGTTAGGCTGGCAACTTCCAAACTAGAACTCTCTGGAACTGCATAAAAACTGAACACAGAATTCTGAACATCAGCGGTGAGTGACCCAAACATAAACCTAACCTAAATCCATAATTCGATCCTCTGCAAATGTGTCCGAAAATGTGCCGGTATCTTAAAATGTGCCGGTATCTACTTCCGGGTTTTTCGGGATCGCCTTTTCTCGCATTACATCAGTGTTTTTGTCATGAAAACGTAAACGGAAAATTCTGAAAACTTCCGTGCACTTGTATTAAGACTGGATATGTATAATTCACTCTCTGATAAACATTTCATTGCGTTGATTGATTGGCATTTGCGTTTATTGAGCGGCCAGAACTACTTCCGGGTTTTTCACGATCGCTTTTTGACGCAGAGAAATAGTATTTTTGTCATGAAGACAAGACCAGAAAATTCTGAAAATTTCCGTGCACGTGTGTGAAGAATGTATATGTATAAGTATTCTCCGATTAACATTTAAGTGTGTTGATTGAGCGTGGCTAGCTCAGGAGTGGCCGGAACTACTTGCGGAGTTATCCACGCATTTGAAAGACAAGCACAGAGTGCGTTGCCAAAGGGCAGCGGTCATTATTGTTTT